CAAAACACAGGCTTTCGTATGAACCGTTCAATTTAGCCCCCCCCCTCTCCCCCCCTAAATTGATACTATCAATAGCACGCTGGTTTCTGGCCCTGGACTGCCTCCTTGCTAAAGCAAGACTAAACTCAAGCTCTGCTACCCGAGCTTTCGTGAAAAGCCCTGAATCCAAACCGTTCGGTTGCTGGTGCCGCCTCTCTGCAGTCACTGCAGCACCCACTGTCCTCCTGCTTCACTGCAAGGAGCACATGACTATCTACACGCACTGCTCCATGCAGCGGCATCGTGGCATTGCAGGTTCTTGAGGATACCCAAATTTGCCATAAGCCAACGCTCCTCGGTCGAGTCGCTGCCATCATGGTCCGTGGTAAAGTCCACGGTCTGAAAGGTCCGTGCTGGGTGAAAGGGGTGAATCCTCCAGGCCCAAGAGCCGTGCCTTCTTCAGGGGATAGGTCATGCGCTGCAGGAGGAACGAGCAGGCGGACCTCACGGGCCCTGTGCTAGGGCCCTGGTAACCCTGGTACTGCGCAGCTCTCAGATCGCCGCGTCTGGAGAGACCATCCGGCAAAAACGCAGGCCACAACCAAGGCAACCTCACAGCGCACACGAAAGCAACAGCGTGTTATTTTTGGGCTCTGCGACAACCCCTTCGCAATGTTAGTGGAACGCTTGCCAAGGTTTCTGGCGAGTCTGTTGCTCCAGATTCGCGCAGCAGGTCCCACAGTCATGAAAATGCAAAGGATCCAGCATCCAGCGTAAACGCAACCACTGAGCCTTTTAGCGTGTGCGCCCCTGCGACACGGATCTCGTCACAAAGAACCCTGCTCCCGGCTGCATCAGATGGTGTCGGCCCAGGCCTGCATCAAGTCTTGCATTGCGATCCACATCCTTGGCAGCCGCAACAAGCCCGGGAAATCGTTGCTCAGCTCAGCAGACGGGCTTCATTATACAAGTACCATCGCCGATTTCCAACAAAGCAACGTCTCCAATCAACCTGCTCTACTTCAATTTCTAGCCGTCCGTCAGAAGTGCACGGCAGCATTGAAAACTGCTGATTGGCAGCGCCCACCCGCACGCCAGGTAACAGGTACAGGAACATGCTGTCAACACTGCAGCGTGAGGCAGCATCTGCCGGCACATGCAAAGATCCCGTGGGTGAGAAAATGGCACGTGGAGGGTGTATCGAAATCACCGGAAGTTATGCATGCGTTCACGTTTCATCATCGGTGATATGCATCTACCCATGTACAATCATGCATGCATGTCCGCATGTATGTTTCTAGAACTACGTCTTAATGATTGCTTGGCATTGCATGCTTGATGATTGGCTGACTGACTGGCTGACTGATTCATTGACCGAGCATCTGCAAAGAAAATTCGATATGCCTGATCAGCCTAGCACGTACTCAAACACGTCTACGCATCTGACGGTGGAAACACCGGCAACTCCCTGAAAGACAAGTCATCTACCGCAAGTTTTCCTCACTCTCACATTTGCTTCAGGCGCCAGGCAAGACGTCTTTGACTGCAAGCGAGCTGCATGGGGCCAGTCATGTTGAAGTTATGGAGAGCTCCTCAAAGGACACCTGCTTCTCATTTGCCGCAAGAAGGTGATCGACATCATCATCGCTACGATGACACGCAGGCGCTCGTATGTTGCGCGAAGTCCAAACTCCGAACAGCCGGAACAGATGTTCCCTAACGCGTGGGACGTCGGAACCTAGCTGTCTCATTCAACACGACATGGCTTGAACGGACCTGGACCTGAACCTGTGACGACAGCGACCCCCAGGGATCCGAATTTCACCCGTCACTCATCCGGCCTGAAAGAATGTATGGCTAACAGTCTTCAAGCTCAGCCTCGGCAAGCAGATCTCAATCTTGACGAATGACTTCAAGCTTCCCTGTTTGGCCGAGGCCTCTGCCGGGCTGAGGTGTGGAGAGTGTTAGCACAAATAGGAGTACGTAAATTGGGCTCAACGGAGAACAGAGCCTCAAAATGGCTGCGGGCAGTTTGGCTGGAGTCAGAAGGAAGCCACGGCTGCACTCCCAACAGCAGTTGCCAGTCTTTCCCGGTTTTCCCTCACTCCCCGTCGCTGAAGAAGAGATCATCGGTCGTGCTCACGCCCGCGGGGCGTGGCGGCCCTTTGGGCAAGGCGGGCTCCTCCGGCTGGAAAGCAAACCCTAAACGCTAAACCCCCAAAGGGGCCTAGGATCCTCAGAGCAGAACAGAGAGGCCCTGTCCTCGGGCTGTGGCGGAGCTGCGGCCGGGGCGGCCGCGGTCAGGTCCCTCGCTGGGACAGGCTCCTGAAAAAAAGGAGGGCTCCAGTCTTTCTGCGCCAAAACTCTACGAACTGCCCAAGATTGGAGATCGGGTTGGGCACGTGCCAATCGCGAAAAGTCAGGGATCCACAAGTCGGCAGATGCTGTCTGGCCACACGGAGGCTTTTCCATCATCAGAGCTGTACACTCTCAGGAATGCTGACTCCAGAGAATGTTGGGGCCGTGTTGGCATGAGGTCACCCACGTCTACACTGCTGGTGCTTCTTACCTCTTGACGTTCGGAAGCAGGCAGGTGTGAAGCTCCCGCTTAGCGTATCTCTGCCTGCTGCCCCAGGACCTCAATACCTCAATACCTCAATACCCGGACTGTCGTGGGTGGCCGCATGCAGCCCCGCATCTCAACACTACAGGCAGCACACCGCAAAATAACGCAACAAAAGCAGGCAATAGGGCCTTTCTGCCGGGTTCGGGCTTTGCTTGCTGAATCAGTCCTACGAGTATCAATCTTATCCCGAACTGTTTCGCTGTCTCCGTCACTGCGGCAGAGGCTCTTAAGACTGCCTGAAGCACATGGGGGAGTGCATAACTCCTCTTACGAGGGCTGTACTCCATGACAGTGCCTCCGTAGTGAAGCTCAAAAGCCACAAGTTTCTCAACAGCCGGCAGCGACTATGTTTGTGGTGTTCAACAACCTCAAAACATGCGAATGCCACCGACGAATTGGACAGCATGAGCCAACTTGGGATGACCTAGGGACCTAGCTGGAATCTGAAGCATCCTGGGGAAAAGACGAGAAGCCCCAATCTCGGAAGTGTTGCACGTGAGACTGGGGGGAAACGGAGAAAGCCTTCGATCTGCTTCTTGGACGCATCATGCGGGGTATCACGAAGGACTGCCTCAGAGCCTGCGGACCGGCACGGTCCGCAGGAGCCTCCGATGCTGAGGGAGAGTCGGAGGCAGCATCGCTCGGAGACCTGGCATTCGTGCCGGTCTCCTCCAACACATCAATGGGCAAGCTCGGCAGGCCGTCGTGCAGGCTGCCGTGCTGTGGCACACCCTTTTCTTGCGTCTCGGCAACACACCTTGAAACGCTTGGAGGCGGCTCAGCTGGCCCTGCTTGACGCGTTTCCGCAGGTGTGCAACTTTTCATGGCCTCAAGCTGCATCACTTCGAGAGTTCGCTTGTGCTGCTTAAGTTCGAGAATCTCCGCATCTCCGCGTCTCTCCGCCAGGTGGCACATATACATCTGAAGCAAAAAGCCCACGTGCGACAGCACATTCATTTGCTGGAGCCAGTGCTCTAGATGGAGCCTGCAGTGCACTCCATGGCCAAACGCCCTGATCTCAACTGAAACCTCCATGCACGGATCACACACAAGCTGCTCACCGCCCTGGGCGCTTGAGCCTGCAGCTCGTCCATGTGCAGTCAGGTGGCTTCTGCTGGCAGAATCGCCTAGATCCTAGGCCCTATAGCTTCGATCTTGATAGCACAAACCCCCAAGATTCAATAAACTCGCACATCTGGCCGTCCTCATCTGAAGGCGGGTCGAACAGGCTCATCGTTGGAGGCATGCCAGATGTCACTGTGGGAGGCGGCATCATGAGGCCCTGCCACTACGATGCATATGCCCATCGAAAACAGAGGTAACTGAACTGCTCTCATACGCAGATGTCTGTGGTCTCTCCCCTGCCCGCATCCCCCAGGAATTCTTATCCGGCCTGCGTGACAGTTCCAGCGGGTAGCGTACCCGCAGCACGGCCGGCCGGGCTGCCCGGTGCATCATCCACCTCCACAACACATGACGGGCAAGGTCGGCGCACCCACGGCCACAGCTGAAGTGTTCCATGATGTGACCTCCTTCCCACACGAGCCGAAATAGAGAAGCTACAGCGACTACGATGAGTTTTCCTACGAGTCCTAGCCTAGTCCCCAGCTCATTTTTCCAGGCCTCGTCCCAGGGGCGCTTGTCTCCTCTGGGGCTCCGTGGCCGCTCCCCTCAAAAGACTGGTGTGTACACACGGACAGATACTGCACTGCATGAATGGTTTGTATTTGAATGTAGATGTATAAAATCTGGCATATCTTATATAGAGGGAGGGCCTCGGGAGGACAACACCCACGCAGCTCGCCCGGACTGCGCTGTTAGCAGTAAGCTGCATGAGTTTTATCGATGCTATCAGTCGCACATGATGCCAGGTTCGATTGCTGGAGAATCGCGGGCACTGCCAGTGTCGACATTGGGCCTGTCTACTGAGCCAGAGGAGCCATGATTGGAGGCCCTGGTTGACCCTCGTCATATAAATAACCTTTCAAACCCACAACGCTCCCAAGCCAAAAGCTCACGCTGGAGATCCGGTCAGTCGCCTTCCAGCACAGCCGCCCCTCGTCCCCTTCCACGGCGCCCTCCTGCTCGGGCTTTCGAGGCTTGCAAAAATCGGAGTCACACAGGATTCCGAGCGGATCCTCCGTGTGTGAACTGCAATGACGAAGTCTTAAGCATGACGCCCCCTGGCGTTCATAGCCCAGAATCACGAACCAAAGTCCAACAGACCTACGTATCATCCTAACCTTGTGCATGCAGGCCTCCACCACGACCTCTGCGACCACGCCCTCGGACCTCCAGCGGCTCCTGAGGGAAAACTGCAGGGCTGACTCACACCCATACCACTCCGTACACTTGCCCTCCTCCACGGCTGCTGGTTTGGGAGCTGCAGCTGCAGCCTTAGAACACTAGATTAGACAAGACAACTAAGCACGAGGCACAATACGAAAGCTGGAATAGTCCACAATTGGCTCTGCAAACGTGTCGTGAACCAATGAGGGCAGCAGGGCATATATTTCTGGGTTTTGCTGGCAACGCATCAAAACGAGTCTCGCATGATGTAAGATAGGACGTTTGCGAGAAAGATGCACCACAGCAAACTGTACAACCGCCATGTTCAAGCGAGTCAAGAGTCCGGCGGCAGCGCCCTGCTGGTTCCACCGGCGCACCTGAGCAGACCGGGCATCCCACATCTGGCTATAGTCCGTCTACTGAGTCTACTCGTTTATGACGTCGAAGCCATGACAAAGCCCATGGCACCAGGATAGCCATTAAACTCCAACGCTGCGCTTGCAAAGCACTCCGACCTGGAGTTCTTCGTGCAGTGCCCGTTCCTTGCACGAGATGAGCTAACCCCGATCTGCATGTGTCCGCAGGCAGTCGCCTTGTCAATCTTGGCCTGCAAGACGAGCGCAAACCGTTGCAGAAGACCACGGTGCCGCTTCTTCGCACTTGCCTAGGAAGCGCAAGTTCTGGAGGCTCCAGTGCAGCCGAGACCCTGTGTCCGGAGGATCCGAGTGTCCGGCGCAGGCCTTGGTCCAGTCCCCTTCCAGGCGGTCCATCTCGCTTTGGAGGCCCTGGCGGGCCGAAGAGCCAGCAAGAACCGCTTGACAACCTCCCCGACCCAGCATCCACCAAAGCTTGCTACAAGTATCTGCTCTCGAACCGACCGCCTCCATGGAAACCCGGCTCTCAGCGATAGCTTTCGTGTGCAGCGACTGCGCCGCCGCGACGGCCCTGGCTGCAAAAGGACCCTGAGGTGCACAAGCACCCTTCGCATGCGAAGGCTGTGCTCTGGCCACTCCGGCTACGCAGTCCAGGAGAAATCCGTCTCTAGCCCAGCACGCCAGAGCCGCACCTGAGCACCTCGAGAGTGTCGCTGCGTGCAGATCTGCCGGACCTGAGGCTCGGAAGTCGTCGAAGGCTACCACAGAATGCTGAGACACCCGGCGAGTAGGCGTTGAGGATCTCGACGACGCAGCCGCTCAAGGAGATCCCAGCTCCTCCGTCGCCGTAGATCTGACTCCTGAAGTGGACGTCGATGACCAGGCGACCTGGCGCACGGCGCAGCCGCACCTCGTCGTGGTTGGGAGGAGCACCGCGACGCTGCTCTGCCATTACGGCCATGAGCCTCTGCAGCTGAGTGGTGCTCCATGCTGCCAGAGGGGGCTGCAGGTGATGCTTCTGCAGCCGTGCTTCCAAGAATTCCAACTCTTGGCCCTGGCCGGTTTGGCCCACCAGGTGGAGCTGCAAGATGCACAAAGGCTCGTCACCCTCAGGCATCTCCGGTAGGCTGCGATGCCAGTGGAGTAACACATCGGCGGTCTCACCACCCGTGGAGTCCCAAACAGAGAACACAGGCACAGGAGGCGCAGGAGCCACTTGAGCTGTGGTTGGACCCACTGCCAAAGAGGGCTCTGAAGCAACAGACATCGCAGCTCACAAGTGCATCCCATGCAACCGCACAGGCTGCATGGCAGGCAGCTGCGAAGTAGTACCACGAGTTGAGGTTAACTTAAGATCCTGTTAGGGCATCGGCACTGTCATGGTAGTAGACACGGCACTGTCAACGTGGTCAGGGCCCGGAGGCTCGGGCAGTGATGGCAGCAGAGTCAGAGGCCAGGCTCCCCTTCGGCGGCACAAGAATTCAGTGCCGCCAAAGGCCTGCACTGTAGGAATGCTTGCAGAACGTACAAGGTTCGTCCAAGTGAGAGAGTTCCGTCGCGGTCCACAAGTGCCTGTCCCTCCATTTATAACACGGAGCTGGCTTTGTCCGGACTTTTGCGTTGACCCTACATATGGCAAGCAGCCTGCCTCTCAGCTGAAGCTCGAGTTCAGAGGATACTCTCTTTTACGTTGCTGCCTGCCTTCAGCTGCGCTTGGCTTCAGCCGATCTCTGCACAAAACTCAGCAGATCTCTACGGCAGCCGATGACGGGAGTTGCATGGCAACGGGAAGTGTGGGGCTAGGACACTCAGAAGCATTCGCTGCTGGCTATCGATGTCACAGCACCATGGCACGAGTCTCGGCAGCCTCACTAAGGACTTCGGCCGCAAAGGCAAGCCTCAAACAAGCAAAAGGGAAAGGGGATGCGATGCGGAACTCTGGGAGAAAGTGCCGAGTTTTGCCCCTCGGATGCCGGCAGCTTCCTTGACTCGCTGACCCTTGGGGGAGACGTCAGCCTGGCGCAAGAAATCGGCAGACATCGCAAGACAGCGCAAGACAGCGCAAGTCGCAGGCGGCACCCCAAGCGGTCCAGGTGCTCTTCAAGGTCCGACGAGGTGCTGCCAGACAGCCATTTCCTCCGAGTGATGTCTCTGCCAGCCTCAGGTATCCGGCCGACTGCACCACCTCTGCTTGCGAAGGTGAACATGAGGCCCCGTCCAAAGCGACCAGGGCTGCTGCCTGTGGCAAGGTGAATGAGATTCCGAAGCTCGGCTCTCCACTTTGGCATCATTCGTCAAGGCCTCTTCTGGGTGCTGCACGCCGGCTATCAGGATTTCCGAGCGTGTCACCACGTGAGTCTCCTGCGCTTCTACAAAGGTCGAGGCAAGCAGGCTGTGTTTGTACCATTGCCTGTACGCGTAGACCATGGCTTTGGTAAGAGCGGAAAGGCTTATGCCACAGGCTTTGATTGCATCTCCTCGATTGTCTCTTTGGATTTTTTGCCCTTCTGGTGGCTCGTCCAGGTCACGCCTCAGTATCCACGAGCCACGGGAGCATCCTTCAGATTCTACTCCCATTGCTGGCTGATCAAATCCGATCCAACATGCAGCTCAAACCATAGATGCCATAGATTCGAAAGCAGTGCCAACAAAGCGCAGCAAAACCTTTGAACGATTGCACGATTGGTCGCACTGACCGCCAAAGCAATACAGGCCTTTCCCACTCCCACCCTTTACAAGCACCCTGTAATTCAAGCACAATGCTAACCCTTGACATTAACTGCGCTTAAACCTCAGGTCGAGGGTAAAGGAAGGAAAAGAAGAGCTGCAGAGCTTTGAGCAGCAAGATTGCGACAAGCAAATTCTTTTTGTAGCAAACTTGGTCAAGATCAAGACAAACCACTGCGACTCAGCCGCTTTGCCGCCTCTCGCTCGTCTCGCTCATGCTGTCAGCATCAGCGTCGAAAGCCTTCCAAGCCCGCGACTCTCAGAAAAGAGCGACAATGCTCCAGACTCGTACGTTTCAAAACCCGCGACAACACGTCAGGGGCTGGGCCTCTGGTGGCTTGGGCCGACTTTTCCTGTTGAAAGGCGTGAGCTTGCCGGCGTAAGGCTTCGTAAACGCCTGCTTGGCCAAACCCGACACTTGCTTTGCCCTTTCTCGCAAGAGGCAAGCTGCCATGTGTGCAGCAGCTCAGATCAGCACCTGGAGCAAATCATCTCGATCCTTGGCGTAGGGCTCGGAAGCCTCCGCCCCCAGAAGTGGATCCAAGTACCTCACACTGTCACAGCCCGAGGGCTCGGGGAGAAGCACAGCTGGCACAACCGCCTTGTCTGCATTTTGCCCAGGCTTGTCTCTGGATCCCGCCTGCAGGAATGCAAGAGCCAGGTGCATTGCAGAGGTTTGACACACCAGAGCCTTGTGAAGACACGCTTCCCCTTCAGGAAATCCTGACGCTGCTTGAGATGAGAAGGGCTTGCACATCCTATCAGCACTCGAGCTTTCAAGGAAAACTAGTTTTAATTGAACCGCACGACAAAGAAAACAGACCCAACATGAGGCAACTGGGAAGTGGATGAAGTCACAGCGGAGGTCCTCCGAGGCCTCCCTGTCCCAGCCACCATCTTCCATAACCTGCACAAGGAACGCCTCTAGGGTTCAGGGTTTCGGGAAGTTGGGCGTTCAGGCTTCATAAGTCGCAGGGATTCTGCTAGAATCTCTGCTCCGGATCATGAGTCATTCTTCGATCTCTGCTGTTGCTGGCGACTCTTTCTCCGCGGTTATATTCATATCAACTTACGAAATCCATAGCTTCATGTAGTCAGAGGGCGCTGGATGCTGACTGCAACAACGTGACGCCCGCCAACTGATGAAGCCGGAAGCCAAAATCACAGCGAGACGTAGCCTAGTAATCGAGCCAGGTAGTTTGCAAAAGTCGCCCTCTCTGTGCGTTGGTGCTCTTTGGTCCCTCCCTGGCGCCTGCAGCATCGCCTGCCCCGCAGGTCCGAGCTCGGACTCGGGCTCCTGGCTTTGACGAAGGGGCCGAAACCTACAAATACTGTCGGGTGACGAGGAAAAGGAGCGCTCCAAGGCTTGTATAAGGGCTACCCAAAGGGGTATATACTCCAAGGGTTTACACGACAAAGGTGGTTTGGGGGCCCTTGCCCTTTGCGTCTTACCAGTCGTCGGGAAGAGGCGTGGGGTCTCGCAAGCTGGGAGCGTTCTGGAGTCTAACTGCACAAGAACCCTAATACCCTGTTAAAATCACAAACCTTCCGATCCGGCTCCATGTCTACATGCACCCGGCCACCCGCCGGAAGAATCAAGTCAAATAGCGGGCAACAGGTGCGTCGTTCAAAATTGCGGCAGCAGGAGCATTCACCTGTAAGTTTGCTGTAATAAGCTAAATACAGACTTTCACACACCTACATGTCACTGGACCACTGGATGCACACGCGCATTTCCACAAAGAGGCAAGTGCTTAACTCAACTCTGAACCTTAATTTCTGCCGCTCGCTATGATGATTTAATCATGCCGGGCTTTTTTTAGCATACCGGCCAATGTCTTCTAGGTCTCCATCATACTGTACGCAGGCCAATTCCTTCCGCATCTTTCTGAGCCCACTGTGTAAACCAGGCCCGGGCCACCTCCTGCTCCGCGAGACTCCCGGCGACACTTTCCATGACCTGCCACGTCCACAAGTCACGTTGTGCCGGATCCGTCTGGGATGTTCGAGCTCAGATTGCCAGGAGGTCTGAACAACTTGCGGCGCTCTGTCAGGCCTGATACACTTGAGAGAATCACACTGCAATCCGGATTCCCGGCAAAAGTTCTGTCTGAAATGAACAGTACAAACATGAATAGGAGGTGTGGATGCAAGTTAGTCCCTTCTGGTCTTGTGGCTTTTCAGGCAGTGGGTTTTGCACCCTCTAGCCCTCCGGCGCCCTCCGGCCAGGCCTTTCCTGCGAGATCGACATCGCCGAGAGCATGGGCCGCTTGCAGCAAGGCCTGCCACATAGGCGACTTCCAAGACCTGTGGGTTCCTGTCACTCTTGAAATCCCTGCAACAAAAGAAGACAACTTGCAGACGCCCAAGCCTTGCAGTCCATGGCGGTCGGCCTCACCTCGGGCACTTGGCGCTTGCAGCGAACACGAACGGCCTGTAAGGACATTGCTGTCGTCTAGAGTGAACTGGAAAGATCGTCCACCAATTTTATAGAACGCTGACTGCTCGCATCCAAATGCCACAAGCATCAAAGGAACTGAGAAATGCATGAATGTAATCGCCATGACATGGAAGATTATTGAACCATTCTCCAGTCACTGGCTGAGTGCTCCACCCCGATGTCGTGCAAGGTAGTCAGAATCTCCAGTGCCTGGTGCGCTGAAGTGCACTAGGCAATCTTCACAACTAGAATACATGTCGGTTTTCCGATGTTCGGCCGACTTTTTCCCTATCAGGACGTGGAAAGGACGACGGGGAAGGGGCAGACGGAACGGGACGGGCGGCACGGCACGCGGGCCGAGGGGAAGGACGGGACAGAAAAGGGACGGGACGGAATGGAACGGCCTGGATGGGACGTGGACCGGAAAAAAAGTTCGATGTCATTGTGTAGCTCCCTAACACGGAAGTCACTGCAGTTCAGATGCGAGTCCAGATTGTGATTCTCTCGCACTTTCGAATATTATGTGGAATTGAGCTCCAGCAAAAAGCAATTAGTTAGTCAAGCTATCCGAGTCTGCCCTCAGCCAGGTACCAGCTGCAGCTCGTCTTTGGCGCTCCCGTCAAGCTGCTCATCCTCCTGCCAGGGCTACGGAAACATCTTCTCCGAAACTGGAGGCCATGTTTGCGAACACGAACTTTCGGTATCCAAGAAGAACAGAAAGCGCTGCCTTCAGCTCAGACAGAAGCTTCTCCTGCAATGCACAGGGTTGCTTGATTCAACACTTCACCTTCTTGCTCTACAGGCCCCCGACAAATTTTCGAGCCCCGGCATCGTGCCTCCACGCGTGCGGACAGTTTGGTACCTGAGCAGATCGAGTTCGAGAAAGCAACTGTGACGCAAGACCAGCACCAGGCAACGAACTCCGGCCACCCACACAGCAAGGCGAGTCCTTGCACTGAGCGGCCCACCCATGATTTCCGTGCTGCGCTCGGAGCATAGGAACTGGCAAGGCCAAGAGGCACCCAGGAGGGTTCAGGGCCAGGGGGCTCCTTCTTTTAAGGCTGGGCAAAAAGGCTTCAGAGCTGCCTTCCAGGCTTCCTGCAGCTCCTCCTCCGACATCTGCTCCACGGCTTCCACATAGGCCTGGTCCCCAGAAACGCATATTCTTCGAGAGTTTCGGGGGAATTGTTGACAACGGCTGACCCTCCAGGAAAACTGTCTGGGCTAGATCCGCAGAACTTCTGCCGGGCGTTGGCCGCTAGCACCTGACACCCGATGCCCTGGGCCTCATCAGTCAACTTATTCAGGAAAGGCCTGAGCAGCACCATCCGCATCATCGGTTTCTGCCACTGCTGTTCGACATCTCGCATGCGTACTGCCGTCACACATGGAGTCTGTCTGACACCAGGCACACAAATCACAGAAGCACAGCATGCACAGAGCGCACAAGGTGCGCAGCAGTCCAGCATTCCAAGGGTGCGGCTCCCCCTTTGCCATGGCCACGGCCGCTTTGACAAGGGACTGCCAGGGAATTCACCCGGGAGCAGTCCAGCGAAGATGCCAACAGCTTCACCACGGCATGAAGCACATGCAGTTGACAATGATCTATGCCGTGGAAGCCCGTGCATGAACTGAAGACCCGAGCTCTACAGCCACAGCATCGTGCACAAGTGACCCTTGCCCGAACGGGTCCGACCGGACGAGCTTCAACGTGACCCGGTGGGCCAGCATGCACGGCCAGGCCTTTGCAGTCTCTTTGCTGCTGCCTGCGAGGTCGACATCAACCTGCGCATGGAAGCGATGGGTCGATGGAGGTGACTTGAACGGGTGCCTTCGCATTGGTGAGGGCTTCTTGAATCTCCTCCTTGGAAGCCTTGGAGAAAGCCACCTCCTCCTGTCTCGATGATTGGGTAAAATCCGTCGTACTTTCTAGACGAGAGCTGAATCTGCGCATCCATGAAATGCTCGATCTCGAGCAAGCAGCTTGCATCTCACACAGGCCCCATGTCATACCTGTTGCTAACCATGAAGTCCTCGAAGTGGATCAAGGCCTCTTTCTCCTCGTTCGTAAGACTCTGGATGATCTCCTTTGCATCTCGGGCACCAGAAGTGCTGGATAGCATGTCATGACATGTTCCTTGCTTCCTCTCCCGGAGATCTGCTGGTCGAAATTAGAACTCCACTTTCCTACAACTTCGCCGTATCTCGTCTCCCGTGCGACATTGTTGGCCGTGCAGGCTACACAACAGGTAAACCATGGGACGAGGTGTTGCATGATTTAGGACATGCAGTCTCCCTAGATCAAAACAAGCGACATCTTTGAGTTCAGCTGTTCACCCCGAGCTGTCCTTCAGCGTGGAGAAAGGGATGGGCAAGGGGTTTGCAACCTGGCTAGATTGTAGTCGAAGGCTTCAGATGTCCGCTGCTGCCACTTGAAGAGACAGAGTTGAAAGACAACACGGAGCCAGGCACACAGCCCTGGCTCCCAGGAGAAGCTGAGAGGACTTCTCCGCCAAGAGATGCTGCCTGGTTCAGGACAGAGCTCCGTTTATCTTTGGCTTGTGCTGTCAAACTTCATCATCTGCTTCGATTGAGCATACCAGTCATTGGTACCATTATATACGACAGAAGGGCTCTAAGACTGCACCTGTGATTGTCAGTGGCGATCTGCAGCTTGACATGCTTGACATCAAACTGCGATGCACACAGTCATTGGCACGACAGTACTGCATGCTTCGTACTGAATGCTGAAACCTAGCCACTAGAATCACCAAGACCAGTGCTGCCGTCCCTGCCCACCTTCGACCATTGATCCCAGACAACTAATTGACTAAGAGCTATGTGCCGCCGGGACGCCGGAGGTGCGACGGGCTTGGCACTCGGCAGCGGTTTGCGTTCCCGTAAGCCCTTTTCACGGCATCGGCATGGAAGACCCGCCAAGTTCTGGGGTTCGGCAGCCGAGCCACAGGCCGGCTATGGCTCCGCTCTGCGACTGAGAAGAAGCTTCGGGAGGCATCTGGCCCGGCGCCGGGTGGCTCCACACAGAGCGCCGACTTCATGTCGAGGATGGGTGGGGTGGGACCGCGATCGCCGAGCCGTTCTCTGGCGGTCGCCTGCGCCGGCGTTTCCCCACACCAGTCCCGCACAAGGCCTAGGCCGTTCACGTCCAGAGACCGCAGTGGTGCGAGCCAGGCTCGTTCAACTTTGGTGTCCGGCGACAGGTATGGATGCCACTGATGCACCTCGTGCCGCGATTCCTCGAGCTTTTGCCAATTCCACTGCTCGGCACACTTCACCTGCACTTTGTCTCCCGACGCCCAAACACCACGTCGTCGCACAACATCTGCAGGGGGCTCGAGCCAGCATGTACAAAGACTGCGACCTGCGGTGTAGCCGGCCAGGGACACTGACGCAGCTCTGCTGGGAAGCTTCCCACCATCTGCCTTCACGGCCTGTAACACACGAAGGAGTCGAAGCGCCTGGCCTCCTACTGCAAGGCCACGGGCCAGCTGCGACACCAGCTCTAAGGCATCCGTTTCTTCTGGGCCAAGGTGGCGTCGACGTTCCTCCAACTGGCTCGCGACAAACCATCGGTAAGCAGCTTCGAGGTCCCCAGCCCGCAGATGGGAGTTGCTCACCGCCAGCAGTACAGCCCCATCAGGCGGAATGCCGACAAAGCGCCGTGCAACATTCAGAACACTCTGCCCGACATCCACCAGAAATCCTGGTCCAGCGTACAGCGTCTTACATTCCACCAGTATTCGCAAGGTCTCGCAATTGGGCTTGGCACCCGACTCCTCCATTTTCTTCAGAACTTGATCTGCACGATTTGCCGTTAGTGCATGTCCGGACTGATGGATACCCAGAAGAATGATGTTAAACAGTGCTACTGCATCTTCATGATCCACTTCCTTCTTGGCAAGCAGATCATGAACATGCGCAACCGCAGGCAGGTATTGAGAGTTGACTGCCAGAATACGCAGCACCTGCTTTCTCACACAGACTGATACCAACATCCTTCCAGGGCAGCCCAGGGAACTGTCGGAAAGAGTGCCAAAAGGGAAATAATGGGGTGGGGTAGAAACTACTATGTAGTGACTTTTGCCAGCTCAGCGGGCCTGTTCTCGCCGCAGCACCACCTTCAGGCGGGCTTTCACACATTGGTCGAACCTACATCAGGCTCTGCCAAAACCACAAACTGCGGGAAGGCCCCAAACCGAGAATCCCTCCACAGTCACTACGAGGATGGGCTTAGCAGTAGTCGAAGCGGCTTCCCAGGCTTCACTGCAATTACAGCTGAAGTCCGAGCTGCTGGCCTACACCCGGGCCTTTAACGACGTTAACGGAGGTACACCGCTCCCCTTACTTGGGCTCTGTGGGAGGTGCTTGGTGAAAGACAAAATCACTAGGCCAGTCGGGCACCTAGAACCCAAGACTTGAATCGTACTGCGGCAACTAAAGCCTGTACACAACTATACGACCCTGCGAAAGACCAACATCTGTCACGGACACCAGAAGCCACGAAATGTCCCATCATCCGTTTGCAGCACATGTCCCCACCTTTGATAAAGCCCAACAACTACTCGCAGTGCCCCAGCATCAAGTAAGGACTGGAGAGTGTGTTCCAGAAGCTTCTCGTCTTCGTCCGACACCAGCACCGTCCTTGGGATCGGAGAGCTCATCAGTACGACTACAACAGTGTAGGGTTTCAGCAAAGGGCACACCGGAAAACCCATAACGACGGATCTATCTGCACAGCAAAGAGTGTGAAACTGCACGCAGACGATGCGTCGACATGACGATGTTGAAGTCGAGGTATAGACAGGCCATGAAATGCCGTAAACGATGTGTTCAAGGGGTCTAATGGCCTAATGACTCAACTTCCGGTGCCTTGTCCAGCTTTCTAACCGGAGGATAGCTTTGCTTGTCGCATGTTGGTGAAATCGGGGGGTACCGGAATTCCCGCAGGAGGAGAAACAAGACTCGACGATGATGCTCATGAAGCGAGCTGCATCGTCGGCAGCATGAGGATTTCTTGTTTCTCCGAACAACGATGCCTGCCCTCGCCTGGCATTGCCACCATAACATTGGCATCGTCGTCGTCGTCGTTAATCCTCCTTCTTAATCATCGTTGTGATAAAGTTAGTTAGTGTGTTACATTCGATGTTTTGGAGCACGCCGGCACATATCAATGCCCAGCTTCTTGAGCTCGTGCACCGCATCTTGAATGTTCTCCTGCTCAATCAGGCTGTCGATCTTCTGCATAACATCCGCGTCGGCTCCTGTGCGCAGTGGCTGCATGGCTGTCCTTATTGGTCTTCAGGCCCCCCTGCCTTCAGCGGAACGCCGGAGCACCGAGCCGCGCCGGGAGCGTCGGCGCTTTGGCGCCCAGATGAGGGCCGAGGCCGCTCCGAGGGGCCGATGGAACCTCTCTGATCAGAGGCTTTAGGGTTTTTAGGGTTCTGATCAGAGCGGGGAAGGGCAGGGATCCAGGGCCCCTAAGCGCCTTGGGACGTCCTTCCATGGGGCCCGTGGCCGTGAAGGCGCCGAGCTTCCACACGCTCTCTCGAAGCAGGCTTTGTGCTCGGCAAAACTTTGAACGAGCTGCACCCGACGTCCTCCGAATCTTGAGTTCAGGGGCACGAAAATCCATGACGTTTCGAAAGACAAATTGCCCCTCTGACGTGCGAGTCCTTCAATGGCTGCCGCTTCGGCAGTCCATGCTGGCCACATGGTCAAACTCTGGCTCATGGATGACGCTGCGAATCACTTTTGATCTGTGTATGACCTCCGATGTCGAGGAACTCGGGAACTGTGGTCACAGCTGTTTGCGTTTGCAGCCGATTTGCGTGTTGAGCACCCAATCGTAGCCGTTTGATGCAGTCCGCAAAAGAGTACAGTAGCCTAGAGTAGTACTGGTTCATGGGTTGAAGCTCCTGCTCATCTTGCCTGGGTTCTACCTAGTATCTGTGCCGAACCGGACGTGACGCGCGGCGCTTGAAGTCTGCTGAATTGAAAGACACAGCCAACGACTTTTGTCTTCTCAGACACGGGGGGGCTTCATCATCTGCATGTAATCCCCAGGCCCAGGGTTTTCCAACTGCTGCAACGCTCCGCTTCCTCAGGCATCCCTCTTGAACGCACCAGTGAAACAGGTATCCTACCTGGAGGACTCGAGAAAAGCATCGAGCTCCAGGGTTCCCAGACTCTGACTCGCGTTGCAATGTACACTAACAGCAGCATGGTCTTTGCATCTGCTCTAGACTCGAAACTCGGTCGGCGCAACGGCCTCGCACACACAGAAGCAGCTGGCCGTGGCAAGAGCCGGTCAACGCAAGGCGAGACAAATCCCAAGCCCAAGCCTGAACACTAACGCCCGGTGCTCTTCAAGCCCGGCATATTCGTTTTCACTTCGTTCTCGATGCACCTCGGAGCCATTGCAACGCACACGTGAGAGGCACAGGGCACACATGAGAAAGAACGCTCTTTTATCGAGCCTGGCCCTTGACGCATACTTGAGAGAGTTGATGGTCTCATCCGTATTCGACGATGACCTGAGGTCGTCAAATCGCCGGGGCGGGGTAAGTAATGGGTTCGTAGAGATCCAAATCACGCTGACAACCTGCATGCTGCGGCGTGTGTGGGCTCTGACTTCAACTCTGAGGCTGCAGCGGCGAAATATTGACAAACCTCTAGGAGCGGGTGTGCCAATGCCGACATCTTCGCCAAGATCTCTATGAAGGCTTTCAGACTCCACTGCAGCCAGGCTGCATCAAGGTCTTCGCCGAGCCCCCCAAGCTGTCCTCGCCAGTCCATACACACCGAAACCAAGCTCGCAAGAACAACACAACCGCCCCTTCCTGAAGCGTACCCACCTTCCCCTTCCCGCAGGAGCTCCCCTCCCCGGACCTGTGTGGTTAAAAGACGCTGCAAGTCCTGCATCAACTGGGTCAGCTTGTGGTTGCGGTACCTGGGTTAGGCCGATGCCGGGCAATTTGCGCACGCTCGGCTCCAGAGCGGGATTGCTGAGAGTGGCACGGGATCAGCTTGGCCCGGGAGGCGAAAGCCATCATGACCTTAGCATAGGCGCAGAAACATTCGCTGCGAAGTATCAGGGCGGCATCTTGGTGGTCGAATGTGGTTGGAGAATGAGCTTCAAGTCCAGGATCGTGGAGGCTTCGGCTGCGGTCTTCTCTCGGGTCAGAAGAGCCCAAGGCCCCTGCGTCCCCCAGCGCTGTCAGAGACTTGTTGATCTCGATGGCTTCCCTCTGGGCCTGACAGTCCGTCATGAGAAGCCCCCTTCAAGTCCGCCCTCAGATCGGAACAACTTTGATTTGAAGGCTCGCTCTCACATCTGGACCTCGCCGGTGACCTCGCTCTTGCTCAGGCGCTCTGAGCCTCCACGGAATTCAGGGTCTGTTCAGGGTACTTACTTCACGTTCAGAAGGCAGGTTCTTGGTGATTTCTTGAGGTAGTCCTGCTGACTTACAGGTGGCTTGCCTTACTTGTCGACATGAACAAACACGAGATTCAGGCCCCCAAGCCGCACTCTCCGGCCAGAACCGGACACAAGCCCCCTCCTGCGAGGTCCACGATGGAGATCTTCCCAGACCGCCGCCTCAGCTGTCACTTCTCCGTGAAGGCTCCCTACAGTCCCTAGAGCATCTGCAGCGTGCCTGCCGGTCTCCTTGTCGATTACGTCCATGCTGATGATCAGCATCAAATGGGACCTCATCGCATCGCAGCATATCGCAGCTGGAGCTAGAATATGCTAGATGTGGCTAGATTGCTAGAGTCTAGAGGAGACGTCCGGTTTTGGGAAATCTCGCTTGGCCTCGCCTCGAGGAGTCGGCGTTCATCTTCGTGGCGCGGACCTTGCGGTTGCCCAAACCGGTGGCCACCACCTGACCAAGCCGCGAAGCCACGGGAGACCCCCCCACCATACCCCCGTACCCCGGCGCCCAGCCCAGGGCTTTTCTCCGACGCTGCTCTCTACACGCGTCCGACGCGTCCTAGACCTGTACAATGCACTAGAAAAGCGGCGTGGGCTGCATTTGCCCCGAAGAGGTCAAATGAAGCTGCTTCCGTGCACTTTTGGGGCGGGCAGAAAGCTCTCCACCACGACGGATCGCCTCGGCGCAGTCCGGCGAAGGAAAGAGCATTGCAAATATTGCAACTTTGCAACTTGCAACGTCATCATCTGGGTCGGGAAAGCAGGCAAAGGAAAGGCAAGCGACGCGACACGCGCCGCATGAAGCCAGCATCGGGCGCCCCGGCCCTTCCACGCTGGATTTCTACCAAGGCACAGCGGCCCTTCGAAAGCCACCCGGGTGCCTGCGTTGCCACACGGAATGATGCAACTGGAACGCATGATCCTGCCTTCTGAACTTCTCAACACTTAGTGTTTCTCTACACTCTACGAGTGTTTGGGTGCTGTCGGGTCACCGGAAGGAGCGACTCGCAGCTCCGCTTGCAGCTCCTGCGATTCCGCTAGTATCATACTAGTATCTGCATCTCCAGGCTTTGGGCTCTTAGAAAAGGACTTCCAGGGGCTCCAGGGGCTCCAGGGGCTCCTTGCCGACGAAGACCCGGGAAAGCGCTCCGTCGAAGCTCCCAGCCACGTGGATCCACTGGCCACGCCACTCGCAGCAGCTGGGGCTTTCCAACTCCCAATGCTTTCCATCGATGGTCACGAGGAAGACCACGGCTCCCGTGGCACAAAGCCGCAGTTCCCAACCCGACGCCGGGCCATGGCGCGAGATGAGGGGATTGGCATGGGACAGAGGGTGTAATTCCTCCGCCAAAGCAGCGACCCAGGCCTCTACCGTGAAGCCCTCCTCCGACAGAAAGGCATCGGAGCCGATGTCGGCAGCCGCGACTTCCACTTCTGCCATCGGCATTCGCAGCTCCAGGCACTTCACACCGCAAAGCTCCCCTAGCGTGGCGCCCGAGAGCAGCCTAGCCGCCCGTGTGACGGGAGCGGCCTGGTGATTCTTCAACCAGGTTGGGGGATTAGGGATTTATAAAAGGCTCAGAATGGCTCAGAGTTCAGGGTGTTCAGCTGTACTCTTGCTGACCTGGAACGGGTCTAGGAACCAGCGCCCTGGGGTGTCGTTGCTCTGCTGGGGTTCAGGTTTTATGGTTATCGTCGGGTGTCTAGGTCCGGCCGAACCGAAGAGTAGTCAGCAAGGAGTCTCTCAACACCCAAACAAGCCCTGAACCTTAGCACGACCCAGAACTACTCAACGGCCTCGACCTCCGCAGATCCCGGGTTGATCAGAGTGAAGGCCTTGCTTTCGAGGATCGGAAGGCTGGCACCCAGCTCTCCCCGCTCCTGGCGCCATTCCGCAGAGCCGGACGTGCGCCCACAAAGCTCGGCTGCCGAAAGACTGCAAACGCTCTCCAGCTGCGTCTTGCATCTCTGGAGCTGAGACTCTTCCTGCTGCCTCCAAGCAGGAGCCGGCAGAGGCCCCCTTGAGCGAGAGTCCGCGTCTTCGATGATCTTGGCCAGTTGCTCTTCCGACAGCGCGGTGCGCCGCGCAAGGACCGACGCCCAGTCACGGGTGTATCTCGCGGTTACATCAACGACCTCCTGCTGCCCGAAGGCGACTATGTAGGTCAGCTTCTTTCCCCATCCGACTTCGTATGTCAGCGGTGCATCAAGGCAAGCTTCACAGGGGTCGCAGTGGTGCCACATATCATTGTACCAGACTTCCGTCCAAACATGATCGGTCCAGTCTACGACTAGCCTGGCCTGGTACCCCAAAGCGGTCGCGATCAACGTGAAGCAGTTCGCCCACTCGCCGCACCTGCCTCGGCGAGTCTCAAGAAGTCGTTCAGGGTCGTCGTACCGCGGAAATCTCACTAACGTCTGGCAGCCATCACAGCGCCAAGCTTCGACACGAGTCGCGCCGTAGCGAAGCTCCTCTTCGCAAGGGTCAGTCATGCCTTCGTGCTTCAACGAAGCATTTGTGGAGCAATGTTCGCAAGAAGGGCTGTCAACCCACTTGAAAAAGTCAGACTTGAACCATTTCAGCAGTTCCAGAAGCAGCTCTGGCCCCCCACGCCCGCGTGCTCCGTCTAAGAATGCTGCCGGTAACAGGGCCCGAGCTGCTGCCTGCTTGCCCTCGTCAGCATAGCTTCGTGATCGGGTGGTGTAGCCATCAATCCTTTTTTTCATCTTCTCCAATTGAACATCAGCTTTCGTAAGGCCGTTCTCTTGGCACGCAGAACACACATCGAAGTCACAGGTCTGGCAGGCAAAAGCCTCGCACCCCGGCTTCAGAACAATGTCGCAGACATCACAAACACGGCCTGGCTCAGGGACTGTCGTCGGTTGCAAACCATGGGATCCAGGGCAGTCCAGTGATGGCATTGCTTGCTCCGGCTGCGGCAAATGGCTCGAAGCACTCATGCTACCCGAAGCCAGCCGGTCCGAGCCAGCAGTTCTGGAGAAAGAGCTGACAAGCCCAACTTTCGACTAAGGCGGGTGCTGCTGCCACTGCTACTGCAAATGCGACTGCTACTACACCCCGAGCCTGTAACAACACATGAATAGTGACACCAGTGTGGTAGCATTCCCGAATGATCTGACAGTACCAGAGACAAGAGCTAGACCAGATCATATGATGAATTGTAACTACGACCTACTTACGAGCTACTATTTACTACTCACCTTCCTGCCTACTACCACCTACTACCTTCTACCTGCTACCTATCACCTCCTACCTCCTACCTCCTATCAGTACTAGTACTACTCTCTCTCTCTCGTGGCGCGAACGTCCGTGGTCGTCCTAGCGTGGCAATATACAAGGGGACATGTCTAAGACATGGCCGTCTAAGCAGCTGAATCCCAACTTGTGGCGATAATCGCCTGTACATTAACTGCTCCAAAAACATGCAACCTCGCCCGGGCCGTGGCCCCAATGAGCAGCGAGAATTCAGCCACATGGTGTGACAAATGTACATGCAGCTGGACAGTTTGGGGATTTAAGACTGTACATGATTCGGCTCAGCACTCCCTCAATCAGAGCTTTGCTTTGGTCCCCTTTGTGTCCCTCAGCTGCAGTACCTGGATCGACA